CCCACCAGGGGGAGGAGAGTGAGCAAGCAGCGGTGTGGTGCTCAGTTGCCAGCTGAGGTTAAACCACGACAATGGGTGAAACAGTCTTAAAGAGACTGGGCGGCAGAGTGATATGAGACAAAAAGTATAGCCAACTTGTTTTAAACACATTCAGATTTAAAAATAGGCACCAATTACATAAAATACTAACATGCTAAAAAATAGATGACCTCGTATGAATGTGTCCTACAGTGGTAACTTTTAGCAAGGATCCTTCGCCCGCTAAGATTGTCAATGAGTTGACAGAGGGATCTCTATGATTGGATTCCCTTACAGGCTTGGGACTCAGAGAAATACAGAAAAGATTCCTTTAAAAAAAGGCATAGTCTCAGAGCAGAAAAAAGCTGAGTTCTGTGGCTTTGCTCCAGGATAGTCAATTGGATGGTTTCATCCCCTCTAATAAGGGCAGATAACAGCACTTCAGGTAATTCAATCTAATATAAAAAATTATCCTCTTCAGTAGACATTTGTTAACCAAATCACCTGTACGCCTTTAATGTGAAAGCTTGTGTTGCATGCCTATTTAGGTAAGTGAGTTGTTGTATGTGTCTGTATTTTGGTAGCACTATGAAAAAAGGATTAGGCTTTGATATGGATCTCTATGTTATTGTGGGCAAATGCATGTATAAATACACTGAATGAATGAATACAATAGGTACTATATGTATGTGGATAGACACCTATGTGAACTGAATCCAGCAGTTACAGTTTTCTTACACTAAGCGTCACACAACAGTTGCTATTTAGTGTGCGGTAAGCCTTATGGGGAGTGTTTGTATCACCTTCTTCAGAAGCCGGAGGTGAGGTTAGGAAATTACTCTCCCTGGACAGTCAGTAAGAGACAGACTCCTTCAGAGAACCAAGGTTAGGCTTCTGCTCTTCCCAATTAGGAAGCATCAGGAGACCAATTTCCTAATTCAGGCACTTTAAATTAAAAGTCTGCAATAGATTAGGTGAATCCCATCATCCCCTTTGTTTCAAGTGGTTTTCCTGCAAACTAAAATGCACTATGCTTTGAGAGAATGAATACGCAGAAAAAACAGGCACGTGTAATCTGATTTTATAATATCATACTGATTAAGGGGGGGATTTTTCCAGCTCAGAAATTGCAGAACCGAATCTGTAGTTATCTGGAGCATTGACACAGGTGAAGTTTTCAAAAACTAAAGTAAAATCTCACCATCTTGCAGTTGTTCGGACTATTGAAGGTACTTTTGGCCACTCCAGCTTCATCTGCATGGCTGGATAAGCAGCAAATTGCCCTGTTGCAATCTGAGTAGCAATCTGGTAGTCCCGGCAATCTTTACCCCATTTAAGAGAACCCTAGTAGAGGGGAATACATATATTTTGGTATAAAACAGAGTAAGATCATTATATTAATGATAATAGCTCATTATATGAGCTGATCATTATTTTAAACTTACCGATACTTTATGGGAATTTATTACTGAAGCATCAGCACAGAGTTTCCATCTACTTGATCCTGTGATGCTTGAAACAAACATCTGTATCCTTGATCTCATGGGTTGAGTATCAGTGTACAGTACAAGCTGTATTCCCGTCGGCTGCTCGTTTCTGTGGATGGCACGAAGGACTGCAGCCAGTATTGGTGGCTTGCTGTCTCCCAAGAATTTAGGCTTAAGTCAGTAGAGAGGAAATAGTGACAAAAGACATAAACAAAGCATTAAAATTACTATATTACAACCACAGATAAAAAGTATCTGTGAAGGATAAATTTCATTCAAAAAGTCTTTTTGTGTGAAGTATGGGAAAGTATTATAGATCATCGCTCGATCTATTGAGCTCGTATGTAGTTTTGCCACAGTCTTTCCAGGGAGAGCTGTCGTGACCTATGTAAGTAAAACAGTAGCATTGCGAATCTCTTTGTAAAGTAATTTCAGTGTAACAAAAGGAAGTATGGAGTAGGACCCTACTGTGTAAAGAACCAATATTACCCAGCTCAGCACTGCTCTCTTACCAACCTGTAGTTTAGCTAATAGTCTTCTTGATAAAATTCATTTAACCACCTGTTTAAAACTGTGATAATTTGTGTTGACAGAGGGATCTGTTCAGTGCAGTCCCAAGTGTGGTACTTGCACGAGGAGCAGCATGTGGCCCCGTTCAAAGTCAGAGCCTCGTGCCCGGCGGCAGCAGCCGCTCCGGCTCTGACTGCCCTACCTGAGCTGTGGGGCAGGAGTCCCCACCTGGCCAGGGGAGAGCTGCAGGTGGGATGAGCTGTGGGGCAGCGGGTCCTCCCTGTGCTGCCAGGTCCGAGTGACAGAGGCCCACAGAAGGATTAGGTGGGTAGGAAGCCCCCTGGCGAGGGCTGAGGGGGAAACGGGGAAAGAGCAAGGCTGTGGCTGGGGAAGAAGGTGTATGTGGTGAGAGCATTGGGGACGACTGGGAAGAGTTCAGGGAAATAGTAATGTGGTGAAAAGATGGACGAGAGGTGAATTCAAATTACCCAGAAATGGGTGGGGGAGAAGATAGATCTGGTTGCCTTTTTTCCGCAAGCTATTTGCACTAACAACTGGGAGCTGCTGGTGCAGAGAGGGTGCCTCAGCAAAGTAAGGCTTACTATTTTGGGGCATGCAGGTCATTGTCTGAAATGTGTGAAATCTTCCTTTGATGAAATCTGCTCCAAATTTCATCAGTTCTTACAATAGTTCTTACAGAAGGACCAGGTACCGTTAACTATGTATCGTGCAGTCATTCCTGAATAAACACCTGGATTGCTCTCAAAGTTGGAGCATTACTGCAAAATCAAGGTCTTTTCAAAGGCCTCGTATGGTCCTGCTAACATGAACAGAAGTACTTGGCAGTGAAGACCTAATGAACAAGAGTGGCAGAGTCAAGTCCTGAACTTTTACAGAGAGCTATGCATTAAAAAATATACCTGAAACCAGTTTCTGATCAAGTGGGTCAGCACTTCTAAAGTGTTCGCATTTTTACAGTGAATTATTTACTGAGTAACACAAATTTCAACATAAACAGCCATACATTCCAGTTTCATTGAAAAATGTGGACTGTATTAAGTGAATATTAAAAAACACTCAATGGCTATCCAATGTGCTCACCTTTATAAAATGGGAAACAATTAATTTTCTTTCTATATATTATCTAATATGCTAAATCACCATATTTTTCCTATTCTGTTATAAACATACAATAACTGGAAACCCAAAGTAAATGTTTTTATTTCTTGTAGATTAAGACACTCACCTGAGACATGGCTCTAGAGGTGCCTTCATCACTAGCTGAAGAAGAGGAGGAGCTGATGCTACCGTTCAGAACTTCCATTCCTGGGTCCTGCAAAAACAGAGAATCGCCTTGAAGCAAGTTATTTACCATTGGAAGTTGTTACAGAGTAAATTTCTCATATTTTTATTCTCAGAGAACTAAGCTCTAGTTGCAGCAAAGCTAATGGGAGCACTTGTAGGCCCTGCTCACAGTATAAGCAGTAAATGTACCTGTTCATCTGCTGGCTTGAACCAAAACTGGTAAACAGGTAGATTTGCCTGTGAAAATAGATAGTATGTAAGAAGATCTAAGAGAAGACAAAGAACTAACTTTCGAGAAATGCGTTAAAAAGTTCAGTATTGAGTATGGAAAAAAGGCAAAACAAAATTAAATTTTTAACATTTTAAACAGAAATCTTCTGAAATGTGAAACTGCTGAACTGAAATGCTTCAGAGAACCAGGGAGGTTAAAAAGGGGAAAAAGCTCTGCTAGGTGGTTACCTCGTCCATCCTGCAGCAAACAGCCACCCTCAACAGTCTGTTTTCTCTTCCTTTGCTCCATGCTCTAGGGACACAATTTCCTGATGTACAAAAACATTCACTACAAGAAATATAAAAAGGTCCAGCCTGGATGAATTACCTGTTGGTTGGAATATTCACTGTCCGCACTGCAGCGCCTGTCTCCAGAGTGGTCTTCGCTGCTGCTGCAGATTTTACTGCTAGCAGAGCTGCCACTGCTGCTGCTGCTTCTTCTGCTGCCACTGCTGCTCCTGCTGCTGCTCTTGCTGCTGCTGCCACACTTCTTCCCAGATTGCCTTAGTTCATCTTTCTTGTGTTCATTTCCAGGCTCTTTACCATCAGCAGAGGAAGCAGTGGAAGAAGAAGATGAACTGGAGAGGGGGGTTGTACCGGGCTCTGCCCAGAGGTCTGTAACTGCAGTCTTGTCTTCTCTGTGAATCCGTTTGTGACGGCGCCGTGTTTTATTTGCGACCTTCAGAAACAGTTCAAAGCATTATGAATTTATAGCTTGTTCTGTAACATTTCTCTGGGTGTCAGACAAGCTGCTTAGCACAGGCTTTTGAGGAAATACAACCTCCTGGCCCCCCACACTGCAGAAGCTGCACCAGAACTCACCTAGGCACATTCCTCCCAGCCGAAATCCTTGCTTTCCCATGCCAGTTTTCCACACTGGAAACCCTTGGCTTCATTTATAGGAAAATATTTCCCTCTCCGATGCTCAAAGTCTCTTACCGTGAATATATTTTCAATGCCTAGAATCTTCTTCAGTTTAGCTTGAATGTCCTTGTATGGAGATGTCTCATCCTCTTCCTTAGACCCGGAGCTTGCTACATCAATTATTTTGGAAGCTGCTTTGGATCCTGCCTGAATCTCCAGCTGTATTTTGTCAATATCAGCACCTGTATGAACTAACGTCAAGACACTTACATTCCAGGGTTGTGCTGCTTGAGCAGCATTCACAGAGATTGACAGAAAAGCTTGTTGTCATGACTGTACCTGGCTTCAAAACTATTTTGGCTTCAAGTTCTCCAGCTAATTTGTGCAGACAGGTATTTCTTAAGAAAGCAGAATTTCGTGACTTTAGGCTGAGACAAGCAGAACATCCCAAACTCTCAATTTTTCTACAGAAGATGCGTGTGTAAAATCTTCCTCCTACACCATGGTGATGTGCCTCTTCTGAACCTTGCTGGTATCCTTTGGATATCACGCTAGGAATATTGCTTTGCTGCATTAAACAAAAATATGGCAAATAAAGAGATTTTCTGCAAAAAAATTGTCACAGATCTTAAAACCTTTCCTCCTATTAATGAAGAGAGTGATGACAGTCCTGCCTAAGTAAGGAAGCAGTGCTTAAAATTAGAGATCTAAGCACTGGAAGCAGTGGGGTTTCCTCCAAAGTCCTCTGTGGAACAAGACAGCTCTCCTGCCCAGCCTTTCCCAGGCACTGTTTCACAAACAAACTTCCCCATGAGGACCTGCAGGGCTCTTTGGAGGGGCTATTTCTCTGCATCAATTTTGGGCTACTAGCTCTCCTGTTGCAAGTCAACCTGTCCTTCCCGTGCCAGCCTCTGAAGCTGAAGAGCACATAGGAGAATGGGCTTCTGCAATCCACTGCAGGGATTACCTCAGGATTTGGGAAGAAAAATGTACATCCTGCCGAAGAGCCATCTTTTCCACATTGCTCTGGCTTGGAAAAAAAGGGATATTGTACAAAGGATATGAATTTCACACACCCTCCCCATGACTGTAAAGAAATAGGAAGACATGCTGTCAAAGCAACCCTACCTGCATGAGATGATGAGAGTGAGCAGACTGTGAATGATCACGTCTTGCACCCATTGGGACTTATGTTAGGCTTGGTTTGGGATCTGTCAGGCACCTGCTGAATCTCACAGTTTCTGCGTCTGTGATCTGGTTAGCCAGCTGCTGTGCTGGGGGTGCTCAGCCCCTCTGAGGAGCTGTCTGTTCTCTACCTGTCGGCAGTACGAATGGTGAGAGGCCTCCTTACCTTCCAGCCGCCAGGCCTTGAAGATCTTTCTGATGGCTGAAATGGCTGGTCGGAGAGACTTGGTACTTCTCCTTTGGGGAGAAGCTGGGATTTCTTTTCGGAATCTACTTCTTCCATGTTCCTTGAAATAGCATAAACTTCACTCCTGTGGAGGTGATAAATGGCACACGGGTAACATCTTCTGATTTTGCTTAACTGTCTTTGCTGGTGCAAAAAAGACAATGCTAAGCTTTATGTGGCTGCCAAGGTACGGCAGAGCCTGACAGAGTTGTATGTTCATGATTTTATAACAGGGAGCTCACAATCAGTAACACATAGCAAGCAAAATGCAACGAGCTCTTCTGTACCTCACAGCTGCGAGCTCAACCTCCTGATGGCAGGGAGGGGTTTCAATCTTCAAATTTTTCTCTTTATTATTTATCCTGGCTTCAAATTTCATTGTAGTGTTGGCGCTGAACTCTGCATGGAATTCAAGACCACTCTGAAAGTATCGTGTATTAATCCCCATCATTGCAATCATATGAAAATATGCCCTGAAAGAGTGAAAATAAAACCATGCATAATTACAGATTAATATGCACATATTTAATGTTGAAATGCAAAACTGCATTTTCACTATGTTCTTTTTATTGTAAGAGCCACTGCTGATGGATAAAGAGATGTATCATACAACATGATAAAAAAAAAGCTGAAGTGCCACTGGAAAAGGTGAAGGGATTTATCTGCTAAACAAAGCTAACATGCCCCCTCTCACTTCTTTGTCACTGATACATTGCTTGAGGACAAGCTAATGCCAGAATCTCTACTAGCTTCAGATTGTGTCTAGTTGTTTATTAATATTATCACTATTATTATGATAATTATTACTATTATCATTATTAGTACTGTTGCATTTGCTTTTGCGGATCCAGAAGCATTTCCCTTTACCTCCTCAAATCTCCCCAGCTTGTGCCTGGTGGCGATGCGATTCTATGTTGAACTTGTAAAAACCTGTTCATACGTAAGCAAATGTATCTCCACAGCTTAGTGTCTTTAGTCACTGAACAGGTACAAAAGCGAGCATTTCTAGCAATGGCAGAACAGCGCAGCATCCTATGGGATACAGTGCACATCGCTACATTTGCAGGGTCGTAAAGCATCGGGTGATTGCGTTGCTCTCTCACAACTTCACTGCTCTGGACTAGCACAGCCGTCCCAGATCTGGGACAAGTAAGACCCCTGCGTAACAACATGCGATCACATATCTATTTCAAATATAAATATAAATGCTTGTGTGTGTATGTGAAAATATACGTCATTTTTACTTTGGCTTGATGTCCTGCCGAAGAGCCATCTTTTCCACATTGCTCTGGCTTGGAAAAAAAGGGATATTGTACAAAGGATATGAATTTCACACACCCTCCCCATGACTGTAAAGAAATAGGAAGACATGTTGTCAAAGCAACCCTACCTGCATGAGATGATGAGAGTGAGCAGACTGTGAATGATCATGTCTTGCACCCATTGGGACTTATGTTAGGCTTGGTTTGGGATCTGTCAGGCACCTGCTGAATCTCACAGTGTCTGCGTCTGTGATCTGGTTAGCCAGCTGCTGTGCTGGGGGTGCTCAGCCCCTCTGAGGAGCTGTCTGTTCTCTACCTGTCGGCAGTACGAATGGTGAGAGGCCTCCTTACCTTCCAGCTGCCAGGCCTTGAAGATCTTTCTGATGGCTGAAATGGCTGGTCGGAGAGACTTGGTACTTCTCCTTTGGGGAGAAGCTGGGATTTCTTTTCGGAATCTACTTCTTCCATGTTCCTTGAAATAGCATAAACTTCACTCCTGTGGAGGTGATAAATGGCACACGGGTAACATCTTCTGATTTTGCTTAACTGTCTTTGCTGGTGCAAAAAAGACAATGCTAAGCTTTATGTGGCTGCCAAGGTACGGCAGAGCCTGACAGAGTTGTATGTTCATGATTTTATAACAGGGAGCTCACAATCAGTAACACATAGCAAGCAAAATGCAACGAGCTCTTCTGTACCTCACAGCTGCGAGCTCAACCTCCTGATGGCAGGGAGGGGTTTCAATCTTCAAATTTTTCTCTTTATTATTTATCCTGGCTTCAAATTTCATTGTAGTGTTGGCGCTGAACTCTGCATGGAATTCAAGACCACTCTGAAAGTATCGTGTATTAATCCCCATCATTGCAATCATATGAAAATATGCCCTGAAAGAGTGAAAATAAAACCATGCATAATTACAGATTAATATGCACATATTTAATGTTGAAATGCAAAATTGCATTTTCACTACGTTCTTTTTATTGTAAGAGCCACTACTGATGGATAAAGAGATGTATCATATAACATGATAAAAAAAAAAGCTGAAGTGCCACTGGAAAAGGTGAAGGGATTTATCTGCTAAACAAAGCTAACATGCCCCCTCTCACTTCTTTGTCACTGATACATTGCTTGAGGACAAGCTAATGCCAGAATCTCTACTAGCTTCAGATTGTGTCTAGTTGTTTATTATTATTATCACTATTATTATGATAATTATTACTATTATCATTATTAGTACTGTTGCATTTGCTTTTGCGGATCCAGAAGCATTTCCCTTTACCTCCTCAAATCTCCCCAGCTTGTGCCTGGTGGCGATGCGATTCTATGTTGAACTTGTAAAAACCTGTTCATACGTAAGCAAATGTATCTCCACAGCTTAGTGTCTTTAGTCACTGAACAGGTACAAAAGCGAGCATTTCTAGCAATGGCAGAACAGCGCAGCATCCTATGGGATACCGTGCACATCGCTACATTTGCAGGGTCGTAAAGCATCGGGTGATTGCGTTGCTCTCTCACAACTTCACTGCTCTGGACTAGCACAGCCGTCCCAGATCTGGGACAAGTAAGACCCCTGCGTAACAACATGCGATCACATATCTATTTCAAATATAAATATAAATGCTTGTGTGTGTATGTGAAAATATACGTCATTTTTACTTTGGCTTGATGTCAGCATGAATATCCATGTTGGTTTCCAACAACTGTGAAGGTCTAAAATTGTCAGGTAATGGTGGTGACATCTGTATATCCACTGCAAAAGACAGACAGGAATTACATGAACAGAGAAACAATGAATGCTGGAGATACAATGTTTTCAGTAAGCGTAGGAGTTAACACATGGGCAGTGCTTTTACATTTTGAAATACTTTACGTGATTATTTAAAGATTGCTATTCCAAACCAGAGTTATACAAATATGTCCCAGGTGAAACACGCTAATTACTTTTCAAACCCTTTGGAGGTAGCTGAACACTAATGTTTCCACATTACAAGAGTATGTTTCAAGATCACAGAGGGATTTAATTTCATCAGAGGGATTGGATCCACAATTATTGTGGGGAAACTGCTCAGTCTGGTGTCTCAAGCTCACCGGCGGCTGCAGCCTGGGCCAGCGCGGCGCCGCACAGGCTGAGCTCCAGCGGCACGCCGACCACCGTGGGGACAATGTGCCGCAGCTCAGCCACCATCGCCGGCAGGGTCCATCGGCCTGAAATGCCTCGCTGGACCTCTTCCACCACTTTTTTCACCATTGGCTGCCAGTTTGATGATCCAGTTAGACTCTGAAAACAGAGAAATAAGTTAGGTAAGTAGGTAAGAAGAGATGGGGAAGGGAAATTGTTCAGCATTGCAGACAAAAAAGACAACAGCCTTGTCAGTACCGTCATGGTCTGCTGAATAGCATCTTTATCAATGTCAACAAAGGCGATCTCTTGGCCCAATACTTTGACATAAGCAGATACCAGAGGGTCTTCGGGAGGCAGCTCTTTCCATCCCAGAAGCTGCGGTGTTAAGGAGAGATGAGGAGAATGAAAAGCATCAGATAATGTTACTTCAAATACAGTAATGTGTTGGCAAAAAGTAGATCCCATCTGAAGGATGCTAACCATGGTTCCTTAGCCAAAAACTAATAGACATCTTACAGGTCTGAACCAATGTGGCCTTTCTTATGTTGCCTAACTGACTTCAGTGGGAGTTTCCCCACATGAGGGTGAGCTAAGGACTTGGTAATTTCTGCTGCTGTAAGTAGTGGGTGACACCCAAGGACTCATGGACAAAAATCTTATTTGAGAATCATTTTAAAAGAGAAGAGCAACCACTTACTGTGTTTTAACATACAATTTAAAACACATGAATTTTGGCTACCAGCATCATCATCATCTTTTGTACTGTACATTAATTGCTGACACATGTTGAGTGAAAAGGTGGCATCTGTTGACAGCATAAGTACAATGTAAGTACATCTTTCCGTGACCAAACAGGATGACTGACTCCTTTCTCACTGAAACATCAAAGGGATGGCGCGGTCGGTGGGTGATGCAACCCCAGTGCCGGCAGGAACTGTGTATTGCAAACAGATCAGAAGTAGAGACGTACCTTTTTGCCAAGTTCCTTCAGTGTCTTGTATGTATCATACTCAGCAAAGGGAATATTCTGCTTCCTGACAAGCTTGGTTAGGCTTTGTGACCGGAGAGCCACCTGTAGGAAACAGTCAGGTTCGCAGCCCAAGTACAAGAAAGCCCAGGAAAACCTTTGTACCTAGTATTACACTCACTGAGGCCGCTCTAAATACATACTTCATGAAGCCATTGCACTTATAAAGCTATGCCTACCTGGCAGATGACTGCAGGCTATGGTTGCAGATGCTGAGGACGTGCTGAGCCAGCTTTGAATTAGTCAGCAGGGATAATTTTAGGGCAGCACACAGCTCAGCCCAGGCTGCAAAGCTTGCCCAAGAAGCTAAGTAAATGCCTGCATGCTGTTACATGGAGCTTCACGCTGCCCTGGCTGCACTGCTGGCTGAAATTTAATTTCAGATGCTATTTCCCTGTACTTATGCAAAATACCCTAGATGCCCTGTGACTTTTGGTAGGCAGATGAATGTTCTGCTGCGTAAGCTTTCCTCTGCTTTCCTAGATTTTCATGCCTATACTGAATGTATTCATTGATGAATGTGTGTATCAAGAAGCCCAAATAAAAGAAGCAGCCTAGGTAAAATCATAATCGTTATCTGAATTTTCTCTTCCACATCTGCCCTCACAGCCAGAGATGGAGTTAAACACCACATCACAGTCCAAAGGGCTTAACAAGTAATACTATCTGTAGCTGGCTTGCATCTGTCTGGCTGTTTTAATGAAATACTTACCTCGATAATATCAGTTGCAGTATTTGCATAATATCCTCTTACTTTTGTGATTATATCAGATGGAAACATGGTGCTGGGACTGTTCATTAGATAGACCCTCCAAATGGCACCAGCCTGATAATCAGCTATCACAGGAATAAAAAGCAGCAGAGATTTTGGTTAGGGTCTCCGAGGTGTCTGGTGCATGTAAGCCACCTCAGGTACATGCTGTAGTAGAGCACAAGGGGTTCTGCCAGGATTCAGTCCCACAGGTCATCAAGTTTGCAACCTCAAGAGGACAACTTTGTTCTAGGGCAGAATCAACACAAGCACAGTGACTGAAGAAGGAGGTGTAAATCCATGTGCAGGCACCGCTTTCCCCAGCAGACACCCAGAGAGTAGTAGAACACCCTCAGGGGATTTTGCATGTTAGGAGGCTCTTGTGCTTTTTCTAGTTCAAGAGTGCACTAAACTCACAGCCTGTGATTGGATTTTGGATGAAAATCGCGGAACACAACAGAGGCATTTGGCTACGTAAGCTGAAGCAGTGAACAGGGCACCTGGTACTCACAGGAATAATCACCGACATGAATGACCTTGCTGTAACGATAGCTCAGCCTGTCAAGTCTGGGGCTCAGTAGTTTAATGGCAATGTTGCAAGCAGCAGATCTGAGTAATAAAGAGTTAAAATCATATGAAGATAGTCGACTGTGACATAATTTTTAGAAAACTGCAAGAAAAAAATCACCATTTGCTACTAAAAAATGTACTTCTTCCTCTACTTACAGATTATAGAGCTGTGGGATCCTGCCTACTGCCAAAGCCTTCATGTGTGAATACGTGAAACTGGCTACTTGTAAGCTGGGCTCCGTCAGCAGCGAGCTGGCCATAGCTGTTACGGTTGGAAGAGCAGGCTTAGTTTCAAAGAGGACAACACAAGCCACCATTCGGACGTTAGGAGCAAGTGTGCTGTCCATAAAGACCTGGAGGGAGATCTCCCTTACCTAGAGGAGGAAGATACAACCTGTGAGTACCTCATAACTTCTTAGTGAGAAGTGGTTCCTAAACCATGCGTGTGTGATCTGCAGTGAATGGAGAACAAAACCCTAAACGGAGACTTGAGCAGGGGACCCGTCACTGAAAATGAAGATATTGCTGGATGCACAGTGAACAGGGCTGGAAGAAACAGCCATTAGTAGTGGGCCCAGTGTTACAGTGACTAAAGCAACCTCTGTCCCAGGATATCAGCAAGGACGGGGTGAAGTCAGGAATTCACAGTGTGGGCAAGAGGAAGACCAGTAACTGAGAAATCTGCCCAGAGTTGCTAACATTACCTGATGGCTTTATTATTCCTGAATCACTAAGTCAACCCAAATCATACCCTCTGAGGCATTTGTTTAAATAATAATTTCAGTTACTTTTGCAGGGTCTTTTCTGGCAATTTTCCTCAAGGCCAACACGGCATCAGCATGAATTCTGTTTGGTAATGAAGCTGCAGCTGGGGAAAATGTTGGCAAAAACTTCAGGATGCGTTTGATACTGGCTGGCTCTCCTGCATTGCCGATGGCTTTCAGGGCCAAGGCCATGTCTTTGGCATCACCTTTGCTGGTGGCTTCAGTAGCAAGGTCGTGGAGTGGCTGAAAACAGAGCAGACTGTGTTAATCTTATCAGGTAACGATCCTGTAATAATGCAAAAAATGTGCATTGCCATAACAGGCAAAACAACTACTGGTGCAGAGCCCTGAGTAAAGCTGTTCAGATTTTTCTCCCAGGAAAAATCTCACCACCATTATCAGGATGCCAAACGTGGAACATACAAGCAAACTTGGTGTTCTCCTTACGCAGCGTTGTAAGTGATTTTAAATTGTGCCTGAGCCTGAGCGTAGGAGATAATCCTGGGTGGATGCCTGCACCACAGAGTCTGTTGCGAGTTCAAGAGCAGCCCCGAGCTGACGCCGGGTTCAGTCGTTCCCCGGGGCACCTCCACCAGCCCTGCCAGCCTGCAGCCCCCAGGGTCTGCACAGCTGGAGGATTTGCCACTTCCTATAGCGACAGCAAGTTTACTTAAACAGTTTTGCTGTTCTGAGAAGACAAATTACCCTTCTGGTGGCTTGGCTTTGTTTCACTCTTTTTTGGAAGATTTAGATACATGTCAAACACCAGCAGCCCATGTCAGTGCTGTGGTCCTTCTGAGTGAGGAGCCAGAGCTGCATAGTCCGAGGACAATGTCCTGAATATTTCTGACAGTGATGTGCAAGTATGTAGCAGGGCCTCTTTGGAAGCCCTAACCTATGACTTATCTAGAGCTTTGCTTATATTCACACTTTGGTGCCTTTTTAATAGATTTTTTAAGTACACTCTACCTAATGTAAAAGTAGAGAGCAGAATCATAATTATTTTGCTTTAATCCTAAATTTCTCATACCTAAACTCAGTTTCAGGTTGTTTACAGAATCCATCATCCCCACGGGCTTCTACCACTTACATTTGAAATTCTGAACTGTTAAGACCAGATTTTTCAAAGGCATCAGCTCGGTGTTTCATTCTGTCTTTGCAATTTTGCAGGCAATCACAGCTAAGAGTGAGGCATGTAAACAACCAGTTACCTAATTGCCGGCATTGTAAGAGCTAAATTAAAGGCATTTAAAAAATTTCTTCACCCCTTATGAATAAGAAATGAGAGTCACCTACCTGAAGAAGTTCATTTGGACAAAGTGAAGTCTGAGCACAGTACTTATTTACCATGCTACCATATCCCAGGTAAACAATTATTTGATGCATTGGTGCTTTCTGGATTTGGGGACAGGTCAGAAAGGTCTGCAGAAGAAAGAAGTAGCAGTCTTTAATGTTTCTGGTAATTAGAGCTAGTATTTAGTGAAAATTACATTTGAGAAATAGATAGATACAATTGATTTGGATTTTTCCTAAATATTTTCAGACGTTAAATCAAACACTAGTCATTCAGCTACAATAAAAGTAAATAGGCTCGCTCCAGTTATAATGTATGCATTTTAGATTTTGGTTACATGATATTATTTTCTTGAGTTTGTGTATTTTTTAAAAAAAATATTTTGGCAAAAAGAAATCAATAGCAATTTTCTGAGGATTTGTGGGTTTTAACATCAAATTAAAAATTTTGGCAACAAGTGTTTGGAAACATTTTCTAAAGCAATCCCCATTTTTGTTAATACCTTGCATTTTACAAATTTAGAAGGAAATATGTTGCATCTTTCACTTACAATCCTGTGAATTCACCTTTAAAAAGGAGTGAGAGGGAAATAGAAGGAGGAATGATCTGTACTCACTGAGGCAACTTCTAGGGTTTGCTTGTTGGGTGTAACGAAATGCAAGGCGAGAGGGAGAGTCGCAGCTGCTTCCCAGATGTTCAGCTTCTCATCGTGAATTTTTTGCTTCAGGAATCTGAATGTGTCAGTAGCTCCAGCAGCACAGATGGCGCTCAGGAACCAGCGCCTGCCAGGGGGGGAACGATTCATTATCCCCATTGCCCAGTATGCCTCTGATCGGAAATCCTGGCTGAAGGCAAAACAGTTACCTGTAGGGAAGGTCGTTGGCAAACTGCACCCACAAAGACTCAATTTGATCAAGGGTCACTATACGAAAAAGCTGGACCATTTGTAAGAACTTGGCTGAAGCATCTTTAGCGGCCCCTTCCTCGTTATTCTGAACTAATTGCCGCAGTGTTTCTGTTAACTATGGGAAAAAACAGACAGTTGGAAGGATCCATGTCTAAAATAATTACGTGATGACCTGTTAACCTTATAAATAATGAAAGAGTATGACAAGGAAGCCTCTAATACCTGTAAATCTGGATTTTTAATCCTTATTAGAGGAATTGGCATCTGGAGTAGCTCTCCTGAGAAATGATAACGAAGACTCCCCTGGTTTTGCAGCTGAGTTTTTGGTGCACTGATGGGAGTCCTTTTAATGTCGACCAAAGACAGTTCTTGTCTTCAAGGGAGAGAAAGAAATGCATCAGTAGGCTTTAACCGCATTGTGTGTGTGGAGGGCTCGTACAGCGGCTGGAGCGGGCTGAGGGGTGCCCAGCAGGACCGTTGCAATGACCACAAATGGATCGTGCACTTCTCAGTTTATGCATTGCTCAGGATTATCTGGAAATGTCATAGGACTGGCGAGAGCTTTCATTAGAGTTTGCCAAAGTCTCTGACAGGTTGGGCAAATGTCTCCGGTGGCCCAGCAAAACCCCCAAACGGCAGGACGTGGGACCTGGCTGGGCATCCCGAGGGACGTACGGTGCCTTGGCCCTTCACAGCCCACAGGCCAGATGCTTCTTGTTAACTCACAAATCAACACTAAATATGTTTTAGGCATCTCTTCCTGGCTCTGATAATCACAGCTACTCTAAGGACACGCATGGCGCCTACCTTGCCTCCATGACTGCTGCCCCGTTGGGTTCATTGAAGGGCGTGATCTGGTACACTTGCTCAGACATAGCAGATGTCATCAAGGCCCCGCTGTCATCATACTTCATCTTGTAAGTGAACATCACCGTGCCTTTAATATTTCTGACTTTCTAGAAGTGCAAAGAGACCCACTCACAAATACGAACGGGCGGTAGTTAATTGAGCACAGACGAGCCGAACTCCCTACTGGCATCAGTGCGACGCATGGGTGTTTGGCAGTGGCTTATGCCTGAGCGTGGCAGCAGGGCTCCACGCTGCTCGTACCAGGGGGCAGGTGGGGCAGGGGCGGATGTACGCCATTCCCATGTTCTTCACCGCTTTCTCCTGGCAGTCCGTCAGGTCCTTGCTTTTGGAAATGGTGGCACGGTTATTCTTGCTGTCGTCCTGGATAACGTATCTGGTTTGGCAGATGCCTTCAATCCCAGCCTGTGAGTATTGATGAAACACAATGAAGTTTCCACTTGAAACAGCAATAAATAGGTCAAAGAAAATTGCCCGGGAAGTGTATGTACAGATAAGTTACTATATAACATTATTCTCATTTTAGAGAATAAAAGCAAAATCAAAATGGAAAAAACAAACCTCCTGTAGTTCATACACATTTTGTGACTTTTTGATGGTTATCTGCATCATATTCAGAATCCCTCTCACTAGGTTAGTGCATAGGATGGGACAGTCCTCAGGGGCGAAAATACTTCCAACCCTTCCCTCAGTGTATTCAAACTTAAAGGCTTGGCTGAAACATGCAGCGATGGTCTCTGTGAGCCTCGAAGACGGAGTGAAGGGGTCCGTGGGCCAGAAGCCGTTGTATTCCTCCAGCTTTGGTGATCGAATCTGTGAACAAAATTAGGAAAACGTTCATCCTGTTCATTCAGTTTGAAACAGTGCAATAACAGGGAAACTGGGCACTTCCAGTCCATGACTGGACACAAGCCACTTGTCCAACACTGCAGGAAACGTTTTCCTCCTTGGACTCTTGTGCTGGGCCTAGGAAGCGTCCTTGAAAATGCAATTTCCATGAAGGATTTCTGCCAGAAAAATAAGATCATGCAAACAGCATTCAAAACTTCAGCAAGTCTGGTGAAGGTTGCTGGGTGAGCGAAACACCGGCTGCCAGCAATCTGTACAGAAAGGATACTCGCCCGTGTTCCCCAGATGTCCAGTGAGATCTCCCTTCAGCCTGCAAGGCAGCCAAGCCATTGCTCAAGCTGCCTGCCTAAACACATTGGGACTATTTTGGCTGCTGCTCCAGGTCCAGCACGTCCCACAGCGCCAAAGCTTCCGCACAGCTGATGGGGAAGCAGAGGTGACCGCAGGACCTCGCACGGGAGATGGCCCAGCAGGAGCTGACATCTCTTTCTTTGGCAGCGGCCGTCATCACTTTGAGCTTATCAAGCTGTAAAGCTTGCACACAAGTCCTTGACTGCTACCTAGTGGGAAATGCGTGCCTGCATGCATGCGTACGTAACTAGTCGCATACACATACACATGCACATCCCACCCTCCTACATAAAAGTACATTTAGAGGGAAATGGTGTGGGTTTAGTGCTCTGTTTCATTTTAGGCATGTATAATCAATGCTGCAAGGGTGGCTTGCCTCTTGTCACGTTTTCTCAAATTAAATCCTACTCAAGACTATTGTCTGCAATTGCTAAATAACAACTCCAGCGAGGTTACACAGAGCCTGCAATTGCAGCAGTGTGTAAAGTTTGATAATAGGTATTCCTTCATGCTGCTTCAGTAATATATGCACAGGATTATAGATTGAGTAGGACAAACGCTCAGTGCCCGCTTACAGCTTTCTCCCCACGTGGTGTCTTCTAGATCCCTTTTCTGTGGTCTTTCATTCCATGCCAATATTTTAAGCTGTTTAAATTAATCTTTTCGATGAGTAACAGCGCTTCCAGATCTGATATCATTATGCCAAGCACAAGCATTACCATTAGCGTTCTTCACATTTGAATTAATGCCTATGTGAAGAACGTCAAAAGGAAGATAATGGAGACAGACGGGAATTTCTCATGTGATATCCGAGCTTTTCTCAGGTTATGGATCAGGTTGAAAAACATGGCTATTTCATGCTTGAATTCGCCTCATTTTCATACTCCAGCTTAGTGTTGCCTTAGTAAAACTGTCATAAGGCCATTTCTTTAAAGGAGCTGCCTGCCATATTTCTGCATGGAGATGAACCTAAGGCAGCTTTAGTCAATGGGGCTCAGGTACTGATGGCAGCAGAGCTGGAGCAGCTCTGGCTTCCTCCTGCAGAGGTGCGGGCTGCGAGGAAGCCTGTGGCGCTGTCTCTAGGTCACTACCCATAACCCAAAGCAGTTTGGCTACAGCTGCAGACACTCCAGCGGTGCCCTCGGCTCTCCCCCAGCTCCCCGCCCGCCCGGGGCGGGGGTATGGGGTGCAAAGCTCAGCGCCCATGCCCGCAGCTCTGCCTGCGCTGGGGAAATTGCCACTGCCTGAGCAAAGCCGCTTGGTCTGACGTTGGGCTTACAGGGTCATCTCAGCACCGGGAAGAGCCCTTAAGCTTTCGTGTGAGCTTTGCATCTTTCTGTTGCCAGACTGGAAGTATGAACCGAACGTCTGTAGCCGTGTCATGAGGGCAGGCGGGTGGGTCCCCATGCCCACGGTGATTTACCTGGAGAAGGTGGTCGCTGCGAGACACACGGCTGATATCCAGCTTGCAGGTCAGCCTCACCCCCGCCATCGCCAGGCCTCTGTCAGGCAGCCCATGCAGGATGAAGCTCTTGTAGCCATAGAGGTAGGTCTTGCCAGTATGAAAAACAGGCTCTATTAAAAAAAACCACACAAACCAGAAACACCTCCTTTGCTATGACTGTTGCGATGTTACCCGCAAGAACCATCACCAAAGAAGGGTGAGGCTGCTACTGCCAAAAAATTGGTGCAAGCAGGGGGCAAGGCATGGCCGTAGGGGAGGGCAGCGTGGGAGCCGCTCGCTGGTGGTGGGAGCGCACTTACCGAGGCCCTGCTTCTGACCCCCTGTGTGGGAGGAAAGAGAAGGATGCGTGAGAAACCCGCCATCTCTGTGGACACTTTACATTTATTATTCATTTATTCAGTGTGCTAATGGTTGGCAAACAACCAGTAATGGGCTCCCAGGGTGAACCCCAGAACCCCAGGACACCGAGCCTGCGCCAGCCCCGCTCACTAGCTGCTGCTTGCTCTGCTTTTCCCCTGCTGGTAAACTTAGGCACAGAAATCTAATAGTCATAATAGGGCTTCAGCAAATTAAGCTGTAAATATCCCTGAAAGGCCCTGAGGAGTTGCAGTTTGCTCAGGACCGCAGCGGCCACCACGGCTCAGCAGTACTGGTAAAGCTTCAACTTACCTGCGAGGGCAAGCACCAGGGCCAGGATGAGTCCCTTCATGGTAAAAGCAACTGAAGACTGCAGGGGAAAATGTGCAGCTTTTATAGAAGAATTATTAACAGGCACAGAGAATTTTGTTGAGTTATCAACTTTTTATCAACAACTCAAACCCTTTGAGGGAGAGGGGGTCGGGGACAAGGCGCTGGCTGTTATTGCTGAGCCAAAACCATCAAAAGCAATTTTGTTCTCACTTCACCAACTGAATGCTCTGAAAGTACCTTTGGAAACAGGTGCTTAAAAGTACTAAAATATAGTTAAAGCCAAAATATTTATTGTGTAAGAAAACCTACTGACTATCCTTATTCATTGGAAGCACCCGGTGCTATTGCAGTCTGTGCTAACCTTGCCCAGGTTATCCTGACCTGACCACACGGCACACAGCTTATCTAACTGATAGTGCTCCAGCACGATTGTGCAAAATCCCGGGCAGCCCTCCTGTGAGACCGCACTGATACCCACCCTGCTGCGAGTGGGACACGCCGTCACCCGCGGCGCTGCTCTCTGGGGACGGGGAATTCACCCAGTAACACAAACCTCCCATCATTGTCACGAAGACCATGGCTAAACGGCGCTGACGTTCATGCTTCCCTCACCTGCCTTCTCTTACAGGGCTAATGTGTCAGCCCCTTTCACCGGCGCGATTAGCCATAGAGGGGTGGTGGTGAGGGTTGCCCCTGCGAGGTGGAATGGGTGAGGCTGACGGGCGTTATGGACACAAACCTCCTAGTTTACAAAGGTGTACGAAGTCTGGTTCGCCCAAACTCATTTCACGTCATGAAACAAGGGACGGCATCTTCACCCCACGGTGGAGCCCCCTTCTCCCATTGGTAGGCATTTTCCCTGTCCCTTTGGAGGCAGCCCCACAGGTCCCTCAAGCTGCTCTTGGCTCCAGGGTTTGGCCAGGTCCCCTGGTCCCCTGCAGCCAGGGCATGGAGCTGGGCTTGGCCAGGGCTGACGGGAGCCGCCCGCACAGCTCCGGTCAGAGGCATGCACGGGGAGGGTTACGGCAGCCCTCGGGCTGAGGGATTCATGTTGGCCCCCCGCAGCCCCCCGCGGGGGGGGAACCGAAGCTGCTGCCCAGCTCACTGTGGGAAGGGACTGGATTCAGTTTCTCATCAACAGATCAGTGCCTCCTATCCAAGAGGGCTTAGTTTTCATAATGGTCTTTAGCTGATGTTTTTTTTTATAATTGGCAGTTGGGATATAATTTATAATGTCTGACAAGCTGTGGATTTGTTCCTAGATCAAAGATTGCATCTGTTAGGGTAAAAAAAATTTTTGAAGCATGGCAAATACTTCACCGTGTTTTTACCGGCACTATATTCCGGTCCCTTTTGTTTTAACCCTTTCCCTTGTACAACTGATGGCACATGATAGAAAAGCCAAGCCATTCACTAGTGAGTTGTGTCACGCCTTTGGAGATTTGGTAAACAGTAAATGTAGCTAAAGGATTTGAGTATACAGCTACTGGTGACTGGTAACTGAGGCTCAAAAGCTAATATATTATAGCATAACTATATGCAGCTGCACAGGCTTTTTTTTTTTTTAACAAAACCATCTTGTGGGCAGCGAGGAGTCAAGGTCAGTGGCAGTGCAAGCAGAAGAGCGCTGCTGTGGCGGCAGATTAAATGTGACAATGCTTGTATTCAGTGTCTCAAAATTATAACACTAGATACAGCTAAACCACCACACTATAACAGTGACACCACGAACCATAACACTCCTCAAAATAAGGGTCATCCCTGGGGGCTGTGCAGACTGTGCCTGGCTGCAAGGGCAGGGTCTCCCCGAAGCCCCCATCCACCCAGCCCGGGGCTTGCAGAGTGTCACCCCCATCCCCACTGCTTTGGGCAGAAAACGCTGCATCCCCGGTTGCCCCGGCCGTGCTGTTGCCACGGGGCAGGATCATCTGTGCTTCTGCTCCAGGCGTAGGCAAAACCTGCTGTTGAGGGCTTTGCCTTTGGGGGTTTCTTTATAGAGTTGAACCCTCTTATTTTCTAGATCATCTCTCCAGTACGTCAAGAACGATTTCAACTCCCAGCCTGTCCCCCATACACTCACAGCCCTTTCACGCTTCGTATTTCTCCAAAGGATATAACCTGAATTAAAAAGAGAAAGGGAAAAAAAAAAGTCCTAGGAGAACTGTGAGGGTGACAAACAACTTTGCTGTGCCCCCCGGACAGCATTTCCTTCAAGCTGTGCTCGTCTCTCTCTGTAATGGCAGTGGGGGAGAGAGGCAGAGGCTGGGGGGGGGGGCTGAGGCCTCCCCACAGCCCTTCGTGAGGTGGACACCCACAGCCAGCATCCCCCTGCAGTTCCACGGGTGCTCTGGCTGCCGTGGTGGTTGGGTGATGCTCACCCGCAGGTCTTCTGCCAGGGCATTACTGCTGAGCTCATCGCACCCCTCGCACCTGAGCACGGGAGCTGGAAGACAAGAGTCCCCCCAAAGCTGTGCTCCAGCCTTGGCAGGCTGGGAAGAGAGGAGCCCCATGGGCTGGCCCCACTGCACCTGGGGGTTCATGCCAGAGCCCCCGTGGAGCCCAGCTCCGGGGTCATGCAAAGCCCTGGCTTCTGCTGGATTCGGCCTCAGGGGTTACCCGGGAAGTCTGTGCTTCCCATCGCCGCTCCGTGTGACTTCCCGGCAAGCAGCAAACCCACCGGCTCACCGCTTTGCTGCTGCTGCTGGGTAGTGCCCAAACACTGCCTGCCGTCAGCTCCCCATCGCTTTGCAGCACAAGGTACCATGACAGCATTTAAACTGCATATAACATTTATGTCTGTCTTTCAAACATATTCCTTTTGGCACTGAGGACGTTACCTTTCCAAACTATAAAACTCACATCCAAACTATAAAACTCACATACGTACATCCGTTGAAGGTACCAAAACTGCTGGGGAAAGCAAAACGACACAATTTTCACAGAATATTCTCAAGTATTTTCAAAAACTAGCCAGTGATTACCTCTCTACCCCACGCGGTCGTAGGTAAGTGCCATTTTTCTTCATTGGTTTCTACTGATTTTAAGAACCAAATCGTTTGTTTCTCTTTTAATTAATTTACTGTCGATCTACATTTTTAACAACTCAGTAGGATCACATTCTGCTTTGCATTAACAAACCTAAATATAAAAATGAATGTGTGGTCAGTCAGTAATAAAAATGGCTGGGGAGAACACTGATGAATTAAGGCAGGTAAACCTGCAAGTGAGTACAATACTATTTCTATTGAAATTTGTGCAAAACTCCTCATGACTTAAGCTGCCAACAATCTCATTGACATCAACGGTTATGTCTGCACCACCTCCTAAGGCAGTTCTCTGAAAAACAAATTCACCCAGCATGCATACTTGGCCTGAAAGCACAGCCTTGGGGACAAGCAGAAAACATCTTCCAGATCTGCTGGAATCCTTTGGGCTCCAGCGCTCACGGCAGAGGAGCACATCCCTCGCCGTGCCCACGCAGACCTGCAGCGCCCACCTGCTGATGGTGGCCACAGCAAGGGCTCATGCTGGACGCGGAGGCTGGGGCACCTCACCCAAAGTGCAAAGGTCTCGCTGTGCTTCAGATCCTTTGGCAGGTGATGTATTTGGGTAACTCCACCACGTCCTCTTCAAACACCCCTGATTCACGCTAGCTTCTCCACGTGGTGCATCAGGAACATGACGTGTTCTTGACTACCTCAGAGCAGCCTTGTCCAGTGGCATGAGGTTCAGCCTTATTCCCTGATCTTGGTGTTCCCTACGGCAGCACGGGCACATCATTATTGTAGAGCACCACGGCTGCGTTGCTGCAGCAGAGGGTGCACAGGATCCCAGCACCAGGGAAGAAAGTCCTGGGGGAAACAAGCTACCACAGCTACCCAACCCATATCCCCGATGGGGCCTGACACAGACACGTGCCTGGTGCACAGAAGACTGAAACAGACTCAAGAAGTCTATGAAATGGGGGGTGAGGAGAAGCTCACCTCCTCTTTCCATAACCAGTGAAATAAGGAAGCCGTCATCAATTTTTCCATGCGTGGATTTATTACGAAATCAGATATTTATGGGCAATCATAACAGTTTATACAATAATAAAGTTTAATACTTTAAATTACTTGGGAAGATTCCAGACGTCCTTAAACACTTAATTTAGTATCTCTATTATTCCTTAAAATGAGTTTTCTTACACCACACAATAAAAACATTGAAGTGTTTCTGTTTTTTCCTGTGCTGCAATGCACAGCTTCAGGCACTGCAGTCTTCGTTCTCACAAGAACATGCTATGTGTGCATCAACAGTGTCCTGCATATCCTCTGACTTCTGGTCGAACTTTGTCTGTTTGTCCGTCAGGCTGGTAGCCGAATCTGATGGGGAACAAGAAATGAAAAGTAAACAGTATACACTTCAGAAGTGGTTTTGCAAGGTACAGTATTTACCATGCACTAGTCATTAATTACAGCAGGCTTGGCTTCTCCTCACTGGCTTACGTGTTTATATTTGTCTAAGTCACGCAGAGACGTTCCAGGAAACCCACTTAATTAATCAGCCAGTTCTACATTGAAAACTACTACTTCCATGTAGAATTTTATTAGCAATATATTTAGGAAAGGATATTGTGGTCTTAAAGGAAAAACAAACTTGGAAAACAGACATGAACCTATTATCTATATAATCTATATCTATCCTATCTAATCTCTTATCATCTACAATATACCTATAAAAAAGACATCCTCCTACATCACTGCACCCGTGTGCAGGAATCCCATCCACACCTGCCCTCCTATTGCCTAAATCCGCTCAGTGAAATAGGATCACGTTCAAAGGCAGCGATCTATAAAAAGCGAGGATCCTCATTTCAGGGTGCTGCACGTGATCAGACGTGGCTGAATCCTCACAGGCTGCAATAGGCAGGTTTTCAGCTGAATCACAGTGTTGACTGTGCTGTTATCCTGCCCTTACCCTGTTAGTTCATAGCACCATGAAGAGGAGTTCCGTTTAGATTTTAAATGCTGGCACCAT